TTCTTAGGTGTTGTTGGACATTTACCCATCCAGGCAGTAGAGAGTGTTGGTTGTGACCCTGACTTGTGCCTTGTTGATGGTGGACAGGCTTTGGGGAGTCAGGAGGTGAGTTACTCACCACTATATTCCTAGCCTCTGACTTGCTCTTGTCACCACTGAATTTACATGGCTTGTCTCGCTTAGTTTCTGGTCAGTGGTTACCCACCCGCCCCAGGATGTTGATAGTGAGGGATTCAGTAATGATAATGCCTTTGAATGTCAAGGAGTGATGGTCAGATTGATAGAGATGATATATAATCCTTGGTACAACTTCTTAGGAGTTTGCATATGAGACATTGGGAGATGACATGATTGTCGATATTCTTGAGAACTTGTGTACTTATTGCATTTGGGGGCCCGATGCCAGATATTTATTGGGGATAAGAGCAGCTACCCTCTGCAACCATGGCTGACGATTCCATTATGCAACCCGCAGCTGAGGTAATGTGCAGGTCCAGTGCTGCCCAAAGCCATGGTGGAGCACACAATAGGCCTTCTGAAGATGAGATTCGGCTGCTTGGATTTGTCCAGGTGGCCTGTGACATACACTCTTGACAGTGTGTTGCATAATGATGTTGTTATGCTTTTCTCTGCACAACTGCAGCAGGCAAAGAAGGATGTGGTGATTACTGACAGACTGGGAAGGCAGGGGCCGTCTTCTGACAAGTAAGATGAGAGCTTTGAGCAGGAAAAGCACATTTAGCATGATAGAGAACAGCAATGTCAGGTGCTATAAACGAAACAGGACTCAAATGACACTCAGATGAGAGTTGTTTACACTGATCATTCATTAACTATAAAATTGTTGTTGCTTGACTTGCGAGCACGTAATTTATGCCCCAAGAAACAAATGCAGCTTGTGATTATTTGATTTCTGTTCACTTTTGGCATGAGTAAATAAGGGTGAATGTTTTGAACTGTTTGAAGTCTTCCCTGCATGTGATGGTCCCACATTGAGATGCTTGCCCAAGGTAGGCATTGGGAAAAGAGCAGCAGTGATTTAAAGGGTTTTAAGGGGGAATGTGGTTAATGACAGGTAAGCTGTGTGGACCTGTGCTGTTGCATGTACAAGAAAGTGCCAACCATATCACTAATGTGGCTTGAGAGTTCTTGGTTTGTGGCTGCTGTGCCACTACATTCATAGTGAATGGCAGCTTTAGACTGTGTCAATGTTTGACCGGGTTCACGTCTAGTGGTCAAAGATGGCACCAGTGCCAGGAATGTGGGGATATCCTGGCAATGGTGCATACTTGTGGGAGAATAGACTTAGTGACGGATGGGAAGGAAACAATGAAGTGATTTTGGGATGAGAAAACTCACTAGGCCTTAAGGAGAGAAACCTCCATGAAACTCACCAAAAATGACATTTGCCCAAAATATGGGAAGATTTAGTCCTCTGTATGTCATTCCTGATTGTTATTTTGCCCTATTAAATGGAAATGCTTTTATAGATTTGACTTTTTAAAAAAATTATCAGTGGCAGAAGATGCTGAAATTGCTCCATTACACTGTGAGCTAGCCATCATTGATGAAACTCCATCCGTAAAACCACAGGTGGAGTTTGCAGTTCCTGTTTGTTTAGGAGGGCCTACATGCAGCAGATCAGAGGTACACCAGGCATGATGATGGGCCAGCTACAAAATGAAATGCTGGACCTGTGCACGCTCTTTCAAGAAACTGTACAAGGAAATGATTATGCCACTAATGTTAATGAACTGGTGGAGCAGGATGTCCTGGATCTTATGAGGCTCTGTGAAGACAGTTTTGATACGTACAACCTTTGTGAAGTCTCTGCTATTTCTTGAGGGACATCAACCTTGTGTTTATACAGAGAAGCATTTGTCTCATTCTTCTGCTGAAGACACCAATCCAAATGCAGCAACAATCTGACGCAGCAACTCCTTTATCTCAAAATGTGCAAAGCCCAGAGGCTCTTACTATTGCCAAGGTGGCTATTATAGAAAAATTGATTTCACAATCAAAGAATGAGGAATTCCAGTCTGCTGAGGTGTCTTTTTTCTAAGAAGAACAACATAGAGCACAGGTACCTAAGTGTAAGGTTTCTGAGATGTCCTTTGTAACGCTATTAGAGAGCATATGTTCTTAATCAAGATTGTTAACGTTCACTGACCTGAGTTTGAATACCTCTATTAAGAATCAAGATGTAATCTCACCAAGCCTCACTCCAAGAGTGCCACCTGGGATGCTGCACTCCATTCTTCCTCCCCACAACCTGATACTTTAAAGTGCTGGTGGTTGTAGGGAAGGGGAGGTCAATGCAAGTTTAGGTATTTTATGTCGAGGAATGTGTTTTTTTTTGTCTAGGTGGCAAGTTAAACAGACTGAAACCATGGAGAACCTGATGAATTCTGGCCTTAAATCTAAGTGTGTTCTTTAGGGACTATGAAACCTCTGTGGAACTGAGGTTCTGATGTTCATTATGCTAAATAATCATTAGCTGTAGTTTTAACCTTGAATTCTGATCCTAACTCAGTGTTTTGTGGAACTTGCCAAGCAAACAAAGCACAAGCAGCGCAAGAACTGACAAGGCTGAGAAATTTACAAGGAAGGAAGACGTTAAATACTGAGATCAGCCAGCTGCTTCCTTTACTCAATAAAAGACTTTTGTTTTGCTCACAGTACCTTGTGATACTTTGTTTTGGAGGGGCTTTCCAAAACGTTAGAGTTGATATTTATTACATTGGAGTTTTGCTTATCTTTGATCTGCACTTCTCAGCTTCCAGCCTTCACAGCAGCATGGGTGGCACTTATGCAACTCCACCTTGCATCTCAGATGAGGAACAGGAGCAGTAGCAGCAACAGCTGCCTTCTCCTCACTTCTCTTCAACTCCTGTTGCTCCACAGAATGTAGGGGGTCAACACTGAGCACTAGCTCACAGGAGGAAATGCCCCCAATATAGGGAGTAAAAGCAAAGGATTAGCTTCCTGGAGAGGAATAGACACCTGTGCTTCGGATTTTTCTGTCAGGCATTCTCTGACTCTTGTAGCCTCCTGACCTGACGAAGGGTTTCAGCCTGAAAGATTGACTTTCCTCCTCCTCAGATGCTGTGATCTGCTGTACTTTTCCAGCCTCACACCTATAGACTAAGACAACCTTCCATGTGGCGCAAAGTAAGCATGCAATTCCAGTGGCAGTCATGATCATCCTAGTCCTTAATTTTTTAAATCCTTCCAAAGATCAGATATTGTTTTTTGTCAATTATCACAAACTGCTATCCAAAAGGAGATCGCTCAGGTGATGAATTTGTGTTTTCCATTTCTCTACTGTTGAGGCATCACAAACAGCAGGCAGTTGGATGTGCTGCTGTAGTTTGATTTCAACAGGTCCAAAATGTCATAGATTCAACACTTGTGATAATCAAGGCTCCCAGATCACCCAGGAGTATTCATTAACTGGAAAGGATTTCAGTCATAAAGCATTCTACTGCAGATGCTGAAAATCTGAAGGAAAAAATAAAATGCTGGAAATCTGAAAGAAAAATAAAACAAAGTGCTGCAAATACTTAGATTATGATAGCATCTGTGAGAGAAACAGTTAATGTTTCAGGCCTGAAACTTTGCATCTGAAGTGGGATATGTTAGAAATAATAACACATTTTGAGCAAGGTTTTGGTGGAATGGGAACAAAAGGAAGATCTGTGAAAGAGTCAAAGACCGGAGAGATTGAATGAATGAACAGTTGGTCTTTCAGGAGCTAAGACCAGAGCATGTAGGAGTAAAATTAGGCTTTTAGGCCCATCAAATCTGCTGTGCTATTCGATCATGGCTGATGTGTTTCTCAACCTCATTCTCTTGCTTTCTGCCTATAACTTTTGGTCCCCTCACTAATCAAGTACCAATCTATCTCTGTCTTAAACACACTCAATTACATGGCCTCCACAGCATTCTGTGGCAATGATTTCCATAGATTCACCACCATCTGCCTGAAGAAATTCCTGTTCATCTCAGTTCTAAAGGGTCATCCCTTTGCTTTGAGGCTGGGCCCACGAGTCCTAGTCCCTTCTAGTGGAAATGTTTTCTTCATGTTCATTCTATCCAGGCCTCTCAGTATTTTGTAAGTTTCAATCAGATCCCCCCCACGTCCTTCTAAACTCCAAGTACAGACCCAGCGTCCGAAACCACTCCTCATATAACAAGCCCGTCACCCCTCAGGATCACTCTTGTAAACCTCCTCTGGACCCTCTCAAAGTCTAGTACATTTTTCTTAGATATGGGACCCAAAACTGCTTACAATATTCCAAATGCGGTCCGATCAGAGCATTAAACAGCCTTAGCAGTATATCTGTGCTGTTGTGTTCTGGCCCTATTGAAATGAATACTAACATTACGTTTGCCTTCCTAACTGCCAGCTGAACCTGCATGTTAAACTGAAGTGAAGTCTGAACTAGGACTCCCAAGTCCCTTTGTTCTTCAGATTTCTGAAGTCTTTCCCCATATAGAAAATAGTCTATGCCTCTGCTCTTCCTGCCAATGTGCATAACCTTGCACTTTCCCACATTGCATTCCATCTGCCATTTTTTTGCCCAATCACCTAGCCTGTCCAAGTCCTTCTGCAGCCTCTCTGCTTCCACAACACTATCTGGCCATTCATCCATCTCTGTGTCATCTGCAACTGCATCAGCATTGTGGTCCCAACACACACCCCTGTGGAACTCCAGTGGTCACCAGCTGCCATCCTGAAAATGACCCCTTTATGCCTGCTCTGTTTTCTACCAGTCAGCCAATGCTCGATCCATGCCAGTACCTTACTCTAACACCATGAGCTCTTATCTTAATTAAGATAAAAGCTTTCTGGAAATCCAAATAGATCATGTGCACTGACTCTCCTTTGTTAAGCTATGTTGCCATCTTAAAGAATTCTAACAGATTTGTCAGGCATGACCTCCCCTGACGAAGTCGTGCTGACTCAACACTATTTTACCATGCATTTCCAATTACTCCATAATTTCATCTTTAATGTTGGACTCTGACATCTTACCAATGACCAAGGTGAGGCTAACCAGCCTATAATTTCCCATCTTCTGCCTCCCTCCCTTCTTAAACAGGTGTGTTACATGAGCCATTTTCCCAGCCTCTGAGACTCTCCCTGACTCCACTGATTCCTAAAAGATCACCACCAACTCCTCCGCAATTCCGTCAGCTATCTCCTTCAGAACCTTGTAGTGTAAGTCCATCTGATCTGGGTGACTTATCCACTATCAGACCTTTCAGCTTCTCCATCACTTTCTCCTTAGTGATGGCCACCACACTGACCTCTGCCCCGTGACTCTGTTGATGTTCTGGTCTGCGACTGGTGTCTTCCACCGTGAATACTGTTGCAAAGCACTTATTCAGTTCCTCCATCATTTCTTTGTTCCCCATTACTACTTCTCCAGCCTCAGTTTCCAATGATCCAATTCCACTCATGCTTCTTTCTTACTTTTCATACATCTTTTTAAAAAAAAAAGCCTCTTGTAATCTTCTTTTATATTACCGACTAGCTTACCCTCATAGTTCATCTTCTTCCCCCTTTTTGCTTTTCTAGTTGTCCACTGTTGGTTTTTAAACGCTTCCTAATCCTCAGGTTTCCCACTAATATTCACAACATTGTATGCTTTTTCTTTTGCTTTTATGCTATCTTGACTTCCCTTGAAAAGAGACAAGAAATGTGCTTTGAGCAAGTGTGCTGCTGACTGTAAGCAAAATAAAAAACACAAACTAAAACATGCAAAGACTAGGGCACAAAATGGACATTGAGATTATGGTTTGAAATTGTTGAATTGAATGTTCAGCTTTGAAAGCTATAAATATTTTCTGTCAAGGTGGTTGTGAGTCTGTAAAATTGCCCAGAATGGTAGAGATGAGTTCTTAACTATTTTTAAGGCAGACGTAATTATATTTTTGACTGATAAGAGTCAAAGGTCAGGGAATTAGAAGGGAATATGAAGTTGAACGACAATCAGATCATCCATAATCTTGTTGAATGATGGATCAGACTAGACAAGCCAAATAGTCATCTCCTGCTCCTAATTCATAGTTTCAAAAGGCTGCTGTTCCTCAAAAACAAATATGATGGGCTGAATGGCCTCCTGTGACATATCATTAGATGTTAACATGTGGCTTATGGCTCATTTTCAGAGACTACTTGAAATAAATTACTTTGTATAACCATCCATTTAAAAATCAATTCAAAATAAGAACAATAATAGAGGAGTGCTGAAATGTTTGTGGCTGTTTTCTCCAGAAATTCCTGAGTGATTATGGGATGATTTGGATTGGTTCAGAAAAGGATGAGGCCAGCAATGTGTATTTGAAGGAAGAGGAGGAGCCTCAGAAGCTTCCCAATCCCAGTGAACTACCTTCATACCGAGGTAAATTGTACTGTTACTGGATGTAGTTCTTGGTTAGATTTGTTTTGCAGCAGAATATGAGGCACTGTCACAGTAACTCAGGGAGCTTGTGATCCTGGAGAGGGTTCAGCACAGACCCTGGCTCTTTAAATACAGATATTTGGCCTGAAACTTCCTCAGAACTTGCTCTTCTCTTTTTTTTTAATTTAAAAAAGGAATCAAAGCTGTTTTGATGTGGATTCAACATCTGAAAGTGGATTATCTGGATAAATTGTTCAAGCAGGTGATGGTTTCAAAATCTTAGAAACAAAGGGGACTGTATGATTAAGTTTACTTTCTTAAGGATAAAATAAATTTGGGAGAGTTTTTATTTCTTACACTGTACTTCTATTTTAAACAGTTTGGATAGAGGCAGGCTATTTGGCCCACCTGAGTCCTGATGGCATTTATGCATCACAAGACCCTCTTTCCAAACTAGGTCATCTAATCCTATTAGTATTTCCTTCTATACCATTCATCCTGTATGCTTATTCAGGGGCCTTCCCTTAACTATATCTGTGTTAATTGTCATGGCCACCCCTTGTGGTAGTGAGTTTCATATTGTCAGCACATTCTGGGCAAAGAAGCTTTTCCATATTCTTTATTGGATTTATCGTTGATAATCCTTTCTTCATTACTCTTAGTTTTGTACTCATGAACTTTATATTTTGAAGTCTCTCATAAATTATATGATCTGTCACACCTTGTGTGGTGCAATTATGAGCTTGGGAAAGGTCAATGCTCCAGGTAGTATGCTACTTTGAATCTGCCCATTGCTTCCTCTCAGCATACCAAGTGCTGCGAGTGCAGGAGATTTAATTTTGCATCTACTCTTCTGCCAGTCACAGAGGGCTGGATTTCCTCCATCCACTCCCCAGTGTCAATTATATCATTGCACTACACTAATACAAAGGACCCGCCAGTATTGTGCCTTTCTGGGTTGTGAACCTATGTTTGGTTCTCTGCCTTTTCCAAAATTGCAAACCCATTATATTCATCAATTTCCAGTAAAACAGCCTGATTCTTTGGAACATTCGTTGGTTATTGTTGACATTACCACATTTACCAGCAGTACTTTGGCACATTGATCATGGTCATTGTTCATATTGCAGATAAGATTATAGACATAAATGCATTAGTGTAAAGGTGGTGAATGAACTCCATTGTTGATGAATGGTTGACATCATGTGGTCTGGAGTCAGGCAAAGTAGGAAAACCACATGGTCCATCCCTGATTTGTGTTGAGGTGTCTTATTTCAGTCAGGTTATAATTGGAAGGCTCTACTTGGCCTCAATACCCATGGAGGGTTGGGGGCAGGATAATGTCAACCATAACCTTGGTTCCTGTTAAATGACTGGAGGCTGTCATGACATCACACTCAGCTGTGTCTCCTCCTCAACTTTCAGGTCTCTCTGATTAAGAAAAGATGATTTGATTTGATTTATTACTGTCTCATGTACCGAGATACAGTGAAAAGTGTTGTTTTGCGTGCTAACCAGACAAATAATACCTTACATAAGTACATCAGGGTAATAGAACAGAATGCATAATATAATGTTACAGCGACAGTGAAGGTGAAGAGAGAGATTAGCTCTAATATTTGAGAGATCCATTCATAAATCTGGTAACAGCAGGAAAGATGCTGTTCTTGAATCTGTTGGTACCTGTTTTGTATCTTCTGCCTGATGGAAGAGGATGCAAGACAATATAACGGGCGTGGGAGGGGGCTTTGATTTTGTTGGCTGCTTTCCCAAGGCAGCAGAAAGTGTAGATGGAGTCAATGGAAGGAAGGCTGGTTTTCCTGATAGATTGTGCTGCATCCACTGCTCTTTGTGATTTCTCATGGTCTTGGGCAGAGCAGTTGCCACACCAAACTGTGATGCAACTAGACAGGATGTTTTCTATGGTGCAGCCCCAGAAAAATTACTAAGTGTCATTGTGGACATGCTGAATTTCCTTAGCATTCTAAGAATGTAGAGGCATTGCTGTGCTTTCTTGACTGTAGCGTTGACTCAACCAAACATGTTAAAAAGATTACTAAAGAAGTGAGACAAATTACAGTCTGTATTTAACCTTGAGAAGTTGTGAAGTGTATGTGTTGTTGTATCATGTACAAAACCACATCACCCTCAGCACTGAATATGTCAGCAACAAAGGAATTTACATTTATACAACTTCGCACCATCCAGGACCAGCAACCCACTCAATTGCCACCTTCAACATTCAGTCCCTCTACCACTGAAACACATTAAAAACAGAGTGTACCAGGTCCAAGATGGACTGCAACAACTCATGAAGGCTCCTTAGACTGTACTTTCCAATTCTATAACCTCCACCACCCAGAAAGACAAGGGCAGCAGATGCATGCCAACACTACTGTTGAGGACCAGACCAAATGCATTCAAAATATATCAGGGAGATAGGATCTAGGCTAACATTTTATTTTCTTTAAAGGCAAGCAATAATACCACTAAGTGATGGCCTATTGGTATTATCGTTGACTGTTAATCCAGACACCTGGATAATTTTCTGGGGACCTGGGTTTGAATCCTGCCATGGCAGATGGTCGAATTTGAATTCAATAAATATCTGGAATTAAGAGTCTAATGATGACCGTGAATCCATGGTCAATTGTTGGAAAAACCCATCTGGTTCACTAATGTCCTTTAGGGAAGGAAACTGCCATCCTTACCTGGTCTGACCTACATGTGCCTGCAGACCCACAGCAATGTGGTTAACTCTTAACCGCCCTCTGGGCCATTAGGGATGGGCAATAAATGCTGCCTAGCCAGCGATGCCCTCATCCCGTGAATGAATAAAGGAAAAAAAAAGTGTAAGGCACTGTGTTCCTGAAATGATTTGATTGGTCCACCACAAGGCTTTATGCAGAGCACACTTTATTCTTACAACACAGTTAAAATACAAACAAAAAAAGATGAATTGGCACAAATTTAACAATATTGAAATACTTCATAAAATAATATATTGGTTAACTACCAATCAACAACTGTTCCAATATAGTAGCATCCCATGAACACACACTTGGCAAAGGCAAATTCAGCAGAACTGATTTTTCTCATGTGCTATTCCAGTCCAGGAGAAAGGAACACTGAAAGAAACAATCTAGCAGCAGAGAGAGAAATAAAGCTCTTTGTTACAGCAGAGAGAGAGAGCTGTATCTACCAGCTTCAGCAGCCAAACTCCATAAACCCAGCTGAAAGCACAACTAAAGCCCAAGGATCTGTTTGAGTCTGACTCCGCCCACTCATGCTTCTTTTGTCTAATTAAAAAAAAACGCTCCGGATGCTCTAAACTGTTTACCCACTGCTTCTGAAACAGACATTCCTGTACCACTGTGGCAACACCTCTCTGCATGAGAAGCAGCACAGACCAAACCTCTCTTAAAGGCACAGCACCATTACAGCACCCTCAGTAAGTTCCCTCCAAGTCACATGCCACTCTGACTTGGAAATAAAACTCTGTTTCTCCACTGTCATTGTTTGTAATCTTGAAACTCCCTTCCTAACAGCACCGTGGGTGTACTGACACCACATGGACTACAGTGGTTCATGAAGGCAGTTCACAATAAGACATAAGATATTGGAGCAGAATTAGTCTATTCAGCCCATCGAGTCTGTTCTGCCCTTCCTTCATGGCCGATGTTTCTCATATCCCATTCTCCTGCCTTCTCCCCATAACCTTTGATCTCCTTACCAATCAAGAACCTATCTATCTTTGTCTTAAATACACTTAATGACTCGGCCTCAACAGCCTTCTGTGGCAATGAGTTCCACAGATTCACCATTTTCTTGCTGAAGATATTCTTCCTCATCTCACCACCGCCTTCTCAAGGGCAGTTAGGGATGGACAACAAATGCTGGTCCAGCCAGTGATGCCCACATCCCAGGAAAGGAGTTTAAAAAATGCAGTGTCTTTAATGCAATCAAATGTCCCAAGGTACTTCACAGAAACGTTATCAAATGAAATTCAATATACTGAGCCAAATAAGGAGATAATAGAACAAGCGAAACAGAAAGGTTTTAAAGAACATTTTAGTGGAGTAAGAACATTTTCAGGAGGAACTTCCACATCTAGGGGCTTAGGTAATGAAAATGTAGCCACCTATGATAGACTGATGAAAATCTGGTATGCCTAAGAGTCAAAATTGAAGGAAGGCAGAGATTTGGAGCATTGTAGAGCTGGAGGTTACAGAAATGGAGAAAGTTGTAGCACTGGAGGAGCTTGTAGACATAGGCTGACTTGCAGGTTCAAGGCTGCACCAACATCAAATAAAATGAAGAGTTTCTACAGACTTTTCTTTGAAAGGGCCAGGATTATATAAACTTTTGGGCAATAGCTTCTGCAATATTCCATGTACTGAAATAGCATAAATTTACAGAAACTTATTATTTCCCATATTACATTAATATATAAATGTCTTTTAGTGTTATATTGCCTCAACATACTTTACACAATGTTATTTGAGTGATGAAAATTAATGTCCCTTTAACTTTGGGTGGAAGGACTTAAAGTTGATGAATCCATTTAAAGAATGTCCCTGCATTTATGCCAATAGTGCTTACAGGATTCTTTAATGTCCACAGAATGGACAAATAGCACCTCCAACAGTGTAACACTCTTATAGCACTGAAGTATTACCCTGGATTTTGTGCTGATGTCCTGGAACAGAGCTTATACCCATTCCCTTCTGATTCAGAGGCAAGACAGAGTTAATGTTTCTGTACTCTTTACATTAAGACTGAAGCCAAAATGTAGAGCAACCTAAATAGCATTTACTTACATTCAGATAGTATAGTCATGAATTCCTGAAGCAGTGTTTCATTCAAGAGTAAAGAATTTGTTTCTAATTTCTTTTTACACAAGACTAAACCACAGAAATAGTCAGCATATGCTGGAAAAGGACAATGTATGTTTTGTGATGCATTGAGTGGAAACTGTGGCTTAAGTCAATTTTACATCA